TATTTTAGAAGTCCATTTGGGTACTTATGGATGGAAAGAACTCTGGAGTTTTATTTTTTGTAACACAAGACCTAGCTACTGTCAAACCTTCTAATCTGTTTAGGTCTTCCTGGCACATGGGCTATGTACAAATATTCAGTTTCAGACATTCAGGTTTTTTTCTCTCAGAGCAAAAATGGATGCTCTGGAAGAAAAATAACCCTGGAATAAGTAGAGTTAGGTCAGTCCTGGGAGACTGAATGTCTGCATGCTTTCCCTAAACTTAATTCTTCCTGGGGACCAGAAGGAGTGGAGCAACGGTAAAGACTTTCATGCCTTCTGGAGATCAGAGTCACCTGGTCTTGAGAAGGAATTGTAGAGGGGGGGAAGCAGCTGCTCCTGCCCTTCCTGTAGTTTAGGAGAGGAGCAGCTGGTGAAGTTCCCAATGTGAGAAGCTTTGCTGCATGGATCCCTCCACTCGGCTGCCAGAACCCAGGAGCCGAGGATTAAGGAGCAGCAAAGCTCTCAGTGTGAGACGTAGACAAGGGCTTTGCCCTGCTGCTTGGTCTGCTCAGCTGCAAGTGGGAGCCAAGTGCAGGAGGTGCTGCTGTCTTCTGTTGGCTCCCTCTTGCCTGCTGAGCAGCATGGGGGGTGGAGGGAGGCAAGGGAAGAACCAAGCTGGGGAAATGGACTCAGGAAGGCTCTCCCTGGGGTAGTGGGGCAAAGCCTCTGCCCACTCTTTACACTGGAGTCCCAGCTGTTTGGATCTGGCAGGGAGGTTATCCCACTAATCTGTCCACTCAGTTCCCCTCACCAGGAGCTAAGCGCAGGGAGCAGCACTGTGAGCCCCCCTGCTTGCTTCTCACACCTGAGTTCCAGGAGTGAGAAGCAAGTGGAGTTTTCCCCTTGCTGCTACCTCTTCTTTGCTCCCTGAGAAAGGGAGCACAGTAGAGGAGCAGCTGCTCTGGAGAAGGGGAGAGGGGGACTTTGCTCTGCTGCTCCCCTCCCTTCTCCAACTGGTCTGGGAGAGGAAGGGAATGGTGAGGCACATCCTCCAACACCTTCATAGATTGTAAGAGGCTGGAAGGGATCTTGCAGATCATCGGGTCCAGGCCCCCAACTCTAGGCAGGAAGACAACTGGGGTTAGGTGACCCCAGTGAGGCAACTGTCTAGCCTCCTCTTGAAAACCTCCAGGGTAGGGGAATACACCACCTCTGGAGGGAGTTTATTCCACAGACTGGACACCCTGACTGTGAAGGAGTTTTTCCTGGTATTAAGCCTGAAGCGGCCTTCCAGGGGTTTATATCCATTGGTCCTGGTCTTCCCCAGGGGTGCCCTAGTGAACAGTTGTTCACCAAGCTCCTGATATAGCAGTAAGCCGCTATCAAGTCCTCTCTCCACCTTCTCTTCTTTAGGCTAAAGAGGCCCAGGTCCCTCAGCTTTTCCTTGCAAGTCCCTGATCATATAGGTGGCTCTTTTCTGGACCCTCAAGTTTTTCTACATCCTTATTGAAGTGCAGTGCCCAGAACTGGATGCAGTACTCCAACTGTGGTCTCATCAGTGCTGAGTACAGCGGGAGTATCGCTTCCTTAGTTTTACACGAGATGCATTGGTTGATGCATGCCAGCGTGTTGTTTGCCCTGCTGACTACCACCTTGTGCTGATCGATGGCTCATATTCATGCGATGGTCAATCATTACCTGTAGGTCCCTTTTGGCCGTGGTGCAAGTCAAGCTGTCACCACCAAGCCTGTATGTATGTTGAGGGTTGTTTGCCCCCAGATGGAGCACCTTACACTTGGAAGTGTTAAACTTCATCTGGTTCTGGTCTGCCCAACTCTCAAGCCTGTCTGGGTCTGCCTGTATCTGCACCCTATCTTCTGACGTCACCACGCTGCCCCATAACTTGGTGTTGTCCGCAAACTTGGGCATCAAGCTTTTCACTCCCCCATCCAAATCATTGATAAAGATGTTGAAAAGCACAAACCCCTGAGGGACACCACTGGCCACTTCATACCAGGACATCACAGATCTGTTCATGAGAACTCTCTGGGTCCTACCCTGTAGCCAGTTTCCCACCCACTGAGCTGTTGAGTAGCTGAGCCCACAATCTTCCAGTTTTCCCACAAGGATTTCATGGGATACTAGGATCAAAAACCTTTTGGAAGTCTAGGTATATGATGTCTACCACATCTCCCGTATCCAGGTGGTGAGAGACCTGGTTGTAGAAGGAGATGAGGTAAGACAAGACCTACCTGTGACAAAGCCATGCTGGCTGTCATTCAGAATCTTACCTTCCATGAGCGTATTGCACATAGATTCTATAATGAGCTTTTCCAGGATTTTCCCTGGGTTGGAGGTTAGGCTGATTGACCCATAGTTGCCCAGGTCCTCTGTCTTTCCCTTCTTGAAGATGGGCACGATGTTGGCCCTCTTCCAATGCTCATGGATTTCCCCTGTGCGCCACAAATTCTGAAAGAGCTGTGCCAGGGGTTCCACGATGACCTCAGCCAGCTCCTTCAGCACTCTCAGATGGAGCCCATCCGGTCCTGCTGACTTTTAAATGTCTAGCTTTTCTAATTTGTATTGCACCCACTCAGCATTCACAGTGTCCTTGACTCCTGTAGCTAACCTAAACTCTGTCACTGCCTTGGCTTTCCTGATCACTTTACAACAGTGGCTAGCACATGTAGGGTAGTCTTCCTTGAGGACCATCCCTAGCTTCCATTGTGCATACACCTCTTTTTTTTCTTTTTTAAGAGGACTGCAATGTCCCTATTAAGCCAGGAGGGCTTGCCAGCCCTTCTGCTGCTTTTCCTCTGCAGGAACGGTTTTCTTTTGTGCTTTGAGGATTGTATCCTTGAGCAATGACCACTCTTTGTGCACCCCATTTGCCTTGCCCTTCTGGTCCCGCATTGCCTCCCCTACTAATGCTCTGAGCCTGTCAAAGTCAGCGTTTTTGAATTCCAGGACTTCAGTCCTGCTGGTTGATTTGTCCACCTTGCAGCAGATAGTGAACCTGATAATTTCATGGTCGCTGTTGCCCAGGTTACCCCCTGTTCAAGCCACACACCAGATCATCTCCCTTGGCCAAGACCAAGTCTAGGAGAGCATTACCTCTGTTTGCTCTGGTTACCTTTGCACTTCCTGGGTCAGGAAGAGCTCCTTGATTACAGTCAGAAAACTGTGTGAACGATATGACCTAGCCAAGTGTTCCTCCCAATCTATGTCCGGGTAATTGAAGTCACCCATGACAGCCAAGTCCCTTTCACGCGTGGTGTCTGTCAGTTCTTGAGAGAACTCCAGATCCAGCCTTCTGCAAGCCATGGAAGTGCCTGACTTGAGGAAGAGGCTGAAGAGGCTTCCCGCTCCTGAAGACTGGGAACAGAGTGGAGGAGACTGCTTCCCTGACCCTATTCTCCAGAGTTCTGTCTGGGGCCGGTGCAGGGAGTCTTTCCTCGCTGCTCCAGTCCCCTTCTTCCCCCCACCCCGACCTGGAGGAGTGGCAGACACTGTTCCCCTCAGGATCACTCCAGTCTCAGGAAGGCACAGAGAGCAGGGAAGAGGGGGTAGCTGCAGACTGAATGTCTCCCAGAAGTATTTCTAGTAGGGCAAATTTCTCAAAAGTTTACCCCATTAGAAATGAATGTCTGTATGCACCCATGGTAATGTAGAAATCTAAAGGTTTTCTCTACATCTCTGAGGCAGAGAGAGCTGATTTTGCAGAGAGAATATTTTCACCTCGCGTAGCTCAGGTGCTGATCCCAGTCTAATAAGTCTAGCTGTTAAAGATTTAATAGAAAATATCTGGATGAAGTTCCTAATTGCACTCAGTAGAGTCCTTCAGTGAGGTTTCATATCACTAAGTCTAGTTATATTTTACAAAATATAATACAGTTTATTTAGAGGTTCACTGTGATGTATTTTTTTTTTACATGTAGTTGAAATTACTCCTCCTGCTTGTTTGGAATAATTGTAACAGGTCATTCTGCGATGCAATATACTTCAATTTTGGCTTGTTCATTAACTGATTCTTAAAACCTAATGTTCTGCAAGGTCTCTTCCAAATGTAAGTGAAAACTAACAAAATTCTGCTCCACTTAACTTTTTTTTCCAGAAAAGAAACTCAGTATCACTTGGGGTAGCCTCCGAATTATATTTGTGCCAACTCTACCTTGTTATAAATTTTGTCTTAGACAAGTACATACGCATATTGTATTAACATAAATTATCTCATATCTTCTAAAATGCCCCATTTTTGTGAATTCTAGTGCTGTAAAAAAATCTCTCTTTTTTTAATTTATGAAAGTTTGTAAAACTGTTTGAGAATTGATTTGCTCCCCCCCCACCATCAAAGACGTATTGCAGTGCAAAACTGCTCAGTTTGTACAAAGTATGAATCCACTTCAAATGAGTACTAAGCTTTATGTAGTTCTTTGGGGGAGGCAGGAAATGTGTGGATTCTTTAAACTTTTTTTTGATGTTAATATTGACTTATTCTGGATTAGTGAAAAACCTAATAGGCAAGGGGTTCTCATCATTGTGGGAGAGAGTGGTATTGACACAGGAATCTAGATCAGTGGTACTACCTTGAATTTGTAGGTACTTTAATTCTTGAGAGACTGATTTTGAAAGGCAAGCAGAAACTTTTGTTTTAAGGTAAAGGACATTAAAATAGAAAAAATATTAAAGTTTTCTGATTTGGTTAGAACTGACCTTTTTTTTTTAAACTTCATATTTAAAAAAATGTAAAATTATTTAAAATTCACCTGTAGGTGTTATTGTTATAACTGCAACAATATTGCAGTTATACTTAGCCTAGGCTTCTATTTAGATCAAATTTTACTGATCATGTTCTTCTCCTTGTTGTGATTATACTTCTGTAAGAAGGGATTAGAAAGGAGGGAATCATTGCATATATTGAGTATTTTATTAGTTTATTTCACTTGGATTCTTATGTGGCAGAATAGTCTTAGTATGTGTTTGGTCTTTTATCAACTGAAATTACTTTTGTCTCGCAGAATATTAATCTTAGGAGCATCTGGAGGAGTTGGTACCTTTGCTATACAGGTAATGTTTTACCAGGCACATGTTTTTCCCTTAAAAGTACTCTAGGATTAAATAACTAAAATTTTAGGCAAGGAAAATTAGCAACCGCAGGGTGGTAAAGTAGCAAGCAACTGAATGAACTCAGTATACGCTACAAAGGTAGGGAAATATGAAAGTAGTTTATTCTTTTCCAGATATACTGTTGTTTAAACCTAAAGGGAAGGAAGAAAATTAGAGAAGAGAAATTGTGGATGTAAAAAGTCAAAGATTACCGAAGCAAGATTTTGAATACAAGGAAATATGACCCAGTTAAAGCATTCTCTCGTACTTCAAGTCTCAGGGAAGTTAGTCACCTGATTTGAAAGGTTCACCTATACATGCACACCTCAGAAGAGGTAAGCATGCAAATAGAATAAATCAGTATACATTTCAGATTATTTAAACCAACTGATGTGGTTTGATGGAAATTCTCCTTTATATTTTTTTGTGCATCAAGTGTACAGTAGTGGTTCAGAATAAAATTTCTCCTTTCTCTTTATCTTAATAGGTCTTTACTTTGGAGAGAGGAGATGGTCTTAAATAGGTTATTCATTTTGCAATGTGTGCATAACATATTTTCATTTAATTTGGGTCCTTTGATTGAAAGCAATGTTCCGTTACATTCGAGCAGCTTTGTCTTCAGAATATCAACATATAGATGATTGTGCCACTAAACTTTGCTTTTACATTTTTAGACGAGGATGGAAGATTGTTCAGTGATACAGTGCCTGTCTGAGTCATGAGAAAGTACTAGAGGTGCACCGATAAAGATTTTTTGGGCCAATACTGATGGCCAATTATTAGCTAGCCATATTGGCTGATACTGATCCAATTGCTCATATGCAGCCCGGCAGCTTTGTAGAGCAGCATCCAGGCGGTAAGTCTGGGGGGAAGGGAGCAGATCGAGGCCCCCCACAGTGAGGGAGGGAGTGGGGCTGGGTGTGGAGCAGGGATGGGGCAAGTGCTGCACAGCCAGGGTGGGGTGGGGCACGGGACAGAGCTGAGGCTTGTCTGGGGGTGTGGGGAAGAAAGGGGGCAGCTCCTGCTGCTCATCGCACCCCTGGGGAAGGCATGGAGGGGCCTGTGCTCCTTGTATCTGTGTATGGGGCAAGGGTGGGGTGCTGCCACGTGTTTGGGGCCAGAAGTTGTGCCGAACTCTTCCTGGTGGGGGGCTGGGCTTAGGCTGTGCTTGGGGCAGGGCAGGGGCAGGTGGTGGTGGTGCTGGAAGAGGGCCTACAGCCACCCCAAAATTCACCATAAAGCCCCCTGCCAGGAAGACCCTGGTGCAACCTCCAGCCCTGACTGCCCCCCGACAACCTGCAACTCTGTCCTGTGATCCATCCCGCCCCGGCTTTATAGCCCCTGCTTCTGCCCTTCTCCCTCGCCGCGGGGGGGGCCTCGATCTGTTCCCTCTCCCCCGCCCCGCCCCTTTCTTCCTCAGACTTACTGGCAGGATGCTGCTTTGCAAGCTGCCGGGCTGCATTCCTGGCAGTGTGCATGCTGCAGTTGCGGACAACCTGCAACTCTGTCCTGTGATCCATCCCGCCCCGGCTTTATAGCCCCTGCTTCTGCCCTTCTCCCTCGCCGCGGGGGGGGCCTCGATCTGTTCCCTCTCCCCCGCCCCGCCCCTTTCTTCCTCAGACTTACTGGCAGGATGCTGCTTTGCAAGCTGCCGGGCTGCATTCCTGGCAGTGTGCATGCTGCAGTTGCGTGCATGTGTGCGGCATCAACATTATCTGCCATATCAGACAAAAAAAGTCTATTGCCAATAATGTTGATTTTCCTTTTATTGGTGCCAAAACAATATGGACTGATGTATCAGTGCACCTCTAGAAAGTAGTTTGCTAAATATGTTCCCTGGGAAAGGTTGAGCTTGCTACTGATTAGCTGTGATTTTTATTGAACCGAATAATAAATTCCTGTGTCACATTTTCGGTTGGTAAATGTCAGAGAAGCTATTGCAGAGAAGCCCGTAAGTGGCTTAGAAAGAGTCAGATTAATTTATACAATAGAGGTAAATTAAACAACTAACAACTTGTTTCTGTTACTGCAGTTTTATAGACTAGAAGCTAACAAGGCACCACCTGCTAAATTTATGTCTGATAAATTAGAGAGCTTTGTTTTTGTTCCTTTAAGTCTTGAAGCACTGAGTCCTGTACACAGGGTACTTTACTGACAGTTAATAATTTAAAATGTTCTAAGGTTTTCAGTTTTCAGGCTGTCAGCCAAATGCACACGGAAGCAAGCTGGAGCACCTGGGTGACTGCCTTTCAAAATGGGTCATTTGGTTAGAGAGCCTTTGGTTAGAGCACCTTTCATTCAAAGAAATCCAGGGTCTGAGATTTATAAGAGGCATCAAAGCAGTAAACTTTTAAAAACTGCATATTGATAAATTCCCAACCACTTCAGAGCCACATGTTAACAAATCGCCGTGTATAGTAGTAACACAGTAACACCACAGCCTCCACTCTTTGGCAGCTGTTAATAATGAAATGACATTTTGGCTTTTTTGGGCAGTTTCATCGTTTGAGTCCCTTTTAAACCATGCTATATTTCTGATCTGTTTTTAGTTAATGAAGGCCTGGGGTGCTCATGTAACAGCAGTTTGTTCTCGGGATGCCAAATCACTAGTGACGAAGCTTGGAGCAGATGATGTAATTGATTACAAGTCTGGAGACACAGAAGAGCAACTGAAACCGCTTCCCTTGTAGGTATTGCTGTAGTTAGATATCTGTACCAGTGATTCTCAGCCAGTGTGCTGTGGCACCCTGGGGTGCCTTGAGATCCTTTCAAGGGTTTCCTGGGGTTCCATGAAGTATTATCACTGTTAAGGGTACACATGTGATTCACAAAATTAAATACAGAGATTTTAAAGAAGAATCTATTGTCATAGAATCATAGAGAAGTTGGGCTGCAAGGGACCTCCCAGAAATAATCTAGTCCAATCCCCTGCCTGAAGCAGGATCATCCCTATCCAAACCATCCCATACAAGCCGTAATCTAATCTCTACATAAGGCTACCATCAACAGTGTTAACAGTGAGACCTGTTGTGGTCTTGCTCAGTTCTTTGCAACAGAAGAATTGCTCCATTATTTTTCTGTAGTCAAAAATAAGTGAGAACTAGGAGTGGGCATCTTCTGAGCAGTGCCTTGAATTTAATGAGAGGTGCCTCAAGTCTGTCAGGAGTGCCTGGAATCTAAAAACGTTAAGAACCACTAATCTGAAAGATGGGTGGTAGCAAGCAAACAAGTTTTCACTGCATATACCTTTTGGAGACTCAAATCTTAATTAGCTGATGAGACTCCCTTGTCTTCTGGGTTTTCAGCCTCCCTGTTTGTAACACTTTAAATTCCTAAAGCAAACTTTCTCCAACCCAGCTTTGAATATGGTTTGCAAAGTATCAGAAATGTAGACTACATGGTAGGTTTAAGACAGGGAAGATGGATTTTTGGGGAAGAGTTCATCTATTTAACCACAGATATGGTTGTGGTTTGCATAGCAATGTGAGTTTCCATTCAAGCATTTTGATGCATTTTTACTAAATTCTGTAAGAAATCTCACAAACCACAAGAAGAGGGCACTGAGACATGGAACAGTTAGTAAATTGTTTTTGGTCCAGTGGTAAGAGCATGCCACAGGTGGGAATAGATTCAGTATTCCTCACTGTTGTGATAGTGTTGGAATGATATTGTAGCTGTGATGGTCCAGGAAGTATGTGAGAGGCAAGGATTTGTGTGGGTGATATCTTCTATTCACTGAACTAACTGCCTGGTTGGAATAGATTTAGACAAACTTTCTTTGGCAGTTTTCTTGTCTGTTAGCTGCTCCTGGCAGTGTTTCTTTTCCATTCTTATAGTCCTGCAAACTGTTTGTGGCCTGGTGTTTCCTCAGACCTGAAGAACACGCTGCATTTGAAAGCTTGTTTAAGTCTATTCCAACCACGGAGTTGGTCCAATACAAGATACCTCCCGCAGAAATCTTTGTCTTCAGCATTCCTGACACTCAGTACAACCGTGTCAGATAAGTAACACATGTGGCAAGGTATATACATTTATTTTTGTTTAACATTTTTCCTTGGAATCAAAGTTTGTCATTGATAGGATTATTGTAGCTTCTTTTTTGAAAGAATTATTCAGATTGATGTTTTGATAATTACATTTCAATCCAAATAATTTTAGAGTTAAGTTTTATAGTAAAATGTTAGCTGGAAAAAAACCAAGAAGCTCTAAAATATGTGAACCTGTCTTAATATTAAAGGGTTGGGATAACAAACAGGTTACACTGACTTAAAAGAGAGCAGGGACTTGCTGCAGAGCAGGTGATGCATGGTAACTGTCTGTGTGCTACTCTAACTTTACGGTAAGTGGAAGGTAAGCAGCTGAAAACATATAAACTAGCTGCAGCTCTTAGGTAAGTTTTCATTCTCTTTTAACTTGGAGTAATTTGTTCATTTGTTCATATCCTAAACAATTAAGCCACTGTGCAGTGACATTGTTAGCTCATGTGTTGTGCCTGTAGTGCACGAGTAGTAACCATAATGTCCTTTACGTACGGTAGGCCTGGGGCCCGGTGAACTAGCATTTAGCTTGAGGTCTGAGACTTTGCTCCTTTGCTATAGGCAATTTATGTCAATACAGTGCATCTGCAGATGGGAAATTTCAGCTTACACTAGTCTCTGCTAAGAGCGAGCTGCGCTCTGAATTAAGTGAGATAATGACAAGACTCTTTCTTTGTATTTTCAGAGCAACGCAGTGATTTTTTTTTTTTCTAAGCATGTCCTTTGCCTGTCTCCAGGTTTGATTTCATCCTAGATAATGTTGGTGGATCCACTGAGAAATGGGCTCTAAATTTCCTCAAGAGATGGTCAGGAGCTACATATGTCACTTTGGTAACGCCCTTTCTACTGAATATGGATAGACTTGGTGTAGCAGATGGCATGTTACAAACAGGAATCACTATGGGTACTAAAGCTGTGAAGGTATGTTAACAACATGCAATATTTTAATGCTAGGCAACAGACCATGGATGCAACTAGTTTATGGGTACATTGGGCAGCTGCTTTGCTTAGTCTCTGTATGCTCAGTGGGGCAAATTCAGACTTACTTCACTATTCGTTCTCAAAACAAAAAATACACACAGGTGTGATGCTAGTTGAGGAAGAATTGGTGTCTGTCTGCCTGCTGGGTCAGAGAGATGGGAGAGTTACAGTTCCGATTTTTAATTGTGGCTTTCTATGTGTAATCTTCCTCCTGAGTCCTGCTGCTTAGTCAGCACTAAATGCAGCAAGTAAATCCCTGCTCCACACATTGGGAAGTACTTTTTGCCATGAATTTTAGCTGAGTGAAATCCTAACAAGATATATTACTCTGTGGCAGTTTTTTTGTCTAAACCACTCCTCATGGAGGGAAATCCCACAACAAGGCATTCCTTCTTTAATCTCTTTCTTCTGCTGTGTCTAGGTGGCAAGGTTGCCACCCTGATTATTCCTCTTTCAGTGACTTCTTACTCTGAGCATGGGAAAAAATAAGTTTGTTTTTGGAGTGTTTTGTTCTGTTTTGCTTTGCTATGTTTTTAGCCCTGTAGAGTCCTTACTTGATATCAGTGTTGATGAAGTTGGGACTGAACAATCACAGATTGACCTTGAAGCAACTGCCAGGGTTTAAAAAAAACTTTAATTGGAGGGTTGGGGTGGAAGGAGAGGCGGCTGCTGCTGCTGCTTCTTTCTTTCTTTCTTTCTTTTTTTTTAAGATACAGTAAATATATTTCACTGAGTTTTTAATAAGAGTTAATTATACTGTGCTGACAGTATCAGATGTTGGTTATCTCCTCAAAAAATAGATATGGCTATGTAGCAGCTGTGCTAGTTTCATGTGACCCCACAAGTATACCTTAGCAACCCATCATCAGGTAGTAATGACTTTCATTTATCACTTCTGCTAGATTTGAACCATTGGCCTTGAGTAGAAGGACTCCAGTTCATTCAGTTCCCTTTGTTAATATATATGAACATAAAACTTGCACAATAAAACCTTGCACAATTTGTAGTTTGCATAAAAAGTCCCCTCATTTCTGGCTGTACAGAAAAGTCTGTTCTCACAGCTAATTAACTTGTACAATTGTGCACCAGAATTCACTCTGTTCCTATTGTGGCAACGCAGCCTCCATGTCTGTGTGTCTAACCATCTGCTTTGGTGACAGTTTATCAACTATGACCAATAATTCCAGCCCTTGAAGTCTTAGCTCTTGTTTTGCCCCCCCTCGTTTTTTTTAGTTCATATTTTTAATTTAGTATATATATGCCTGTCTATTTCAGCACCTCTGTAAAGGAGTTCATTATCGATGGGCGTTTTTCACGCCAAGTGGCGTATTTTTGGATGAAATAGCGCAACTGGTTGATTCAGGAAAGGTATGTCAGAGTCAGTCATTTAACCTTCTGTGTTATTGCCTAAATAAATGCTGCTTTGACTTTAAAAAAAAATTGTGTAATGGAAAAGTAAGCAATGAAATGTTGCAGTAGGTTTTCCATGACAAAAATTTTAGTGTTACTTTAAAATCCTCCTCTCGCAGGTAAGTTCCCTTTCCAGTATATAGAGTTTATACATTAGTGTTTCTCACTGTTAATGGTTAATTGCAGGAATTTTAAAATATGACATCTAAGAGGTTACAGGTAAAGTGATTTACTGTGGCTGCTACTTTTGCCACTGGAAATTGTGAGGATGAGTTCGCTACAGAGCAGGTGTGGTGGCAGATGGGCTGTGGTGTTATGATAGTGCTTGTGGCATCACACATTTCCCTTAACCCTGAGTGTTTGGCTTACTTCATAGCACCTGTGTGCTGTTGAAACGCATTCTTCTGCCTACACACCCCTGTTCCAACTGAGCCAAAGCCAGAAAGGAGGCAGAAACAATTGCCCTGAAAGTGGTCCCTACTGTTGTTCTTGTGTACAAGAGAGACAATGAGCCTGTGAGCAGTAATGCACAGTACACTTGGGAGTACTGCAGAAGTACTATAGACATGCCTACTGTTTTCATTGCTTTAAGCACAAATGTCCTAGCCTAAAAAGAACCCACAGCAAGTGCTTCACTCCTGTGGCCTTGTGCAGCCATACTCAATAAATGCTAATTCAGTGAGGTGCAGAATTACCTTTGGGTTTTTTTCAGGGTTACAATTTGTTCAGCTTCCTGGCCAGTCGCAGCACATTTGTGTTCTGTTCTTACCTTGTATTCAAAACAGAAATGCAGAATATGCCTGTGAAAGTCTGTTCGGAAACACCTATTTATGCAATAGAGAGAAGACTTAATTGGCTTTCACCTGTCTAATAATCTGGACAGGTGAATGCTAATGCCATTTAGAACATACGTCATACATTTATGGATGTCCTAATGTACCTTTTGTTGTAAGATGATCGTGAGAATAAAGGTGCTTGCTTAGTCTTTTATTCTGTGTCTACAAAAACAGGTCATAATATCAGAGGTTGTTTATCTACATAGACATTATACCAGCAGTATGTAAGTTATTACTTTATAAAATGGTTTGAACATCTTAAGGGATAGCCAGCACGGGTTTGTCACAGGTAGGTCTTGCTTGACCAATCTCATTTCCTTCTATGACCAGGTGACCTATCACCTGGACAAGGGAGAAGAGATTGATGTCATATATCTTGACTTCAAAAAAGCCTTCGATCTGGTATCCCATGATCACCTCTTGGTGAAACTGGCCAATTGTTGCCTTGGGTCCACCACGATCCACTGGCTGGAAAATTGGCTCTGTGGTCAGACCCAGAGGGTAGTAATTGATGGAAGTCGCTCATCATGGTGTCCTGTGACCAGTGGGGTCCCCCAAGGCTCTGTCCTTGGACCCATATTGTTCAACATCTTCATTAATGATGTGGACACTGGAGTCAGAAGCGGACTGGCCAAGTTTGCCAATGACACCAAACTTTGGGGCAAAGCATCCACACCAGAAGACAGGCGGGTGGCCCCATTTCAGCAGGGGAAAGCCAAGGTGTATATAGCCAACTCCAAGCTACCAACACAAGATTGACCACAAGATGAACATGAGCCTGCAGTGCGATGCTGCAGCTAGTAAAGCAACCAAAATGCTGGTTTGCATCCATAGATGCTTCTCAAGCAAATCCCGGGACGTCATTCTCCCCTTGTACTTGGCCTTGGTGAGGCCGCAGCTGGAGTACTGATTCCAGTTTTGGGCTCCACAATTCAAAAAGGATGTGGAGAAGCTTGAGAGAGTCCAGAGAAGAGCCACGCGCATGATCAGAGGTCAGGGAAGCAGACCCTACGATGACAGGCTGAGAGCCCTGGGGCTCTTTAGCCTGGAAAAGCGCAGGCTCAGGGGTGATCTGATGGCCACCTATAAGTTTATCAGGGGTGACCACCAGTATCTGGGGGAACGTTTGTTCACCAGAGCGCCCCAAGGGATGACGACTAGGTCGAATGGTCATAAACTACTTCAAGATCGTTTCAGGCTGGACATAAGGAAGAATTTCTTTACTGTCTGAGCCCCCAAGGTCTGGAACAGCCTGCTACCGGAGGTGGTTCAAGCGCCTACATTGAACACCTTCAAGAGCAAACTGGATGCTTATCTTGCTGGGATCCTATGACCCCAGCTGACTTCCTGCCCTTTGGGCAGGGGGCTGGACTCGATGGTCTTCCGAGGTCCCTTCCAGCCCTAATGTCTATGAAATCTGTAGTGCTAAAGGTGTGGGAAGAGACTAAAATGCACTTCGTTTAGATCTTTTGTTTAATATTGTGCATTTGTGTTGCCAGTATACACTGGTTCCCTCGGACGGAGGGAACCAATGTTCAGTGGCATAGAAATATGAAAAGGGGAGGTGGAAAGGATAGGGATACATCCATCACAAAATGTCCTGTATCAAAGTTATCAATGATACTTTTTTATGAAACTGGATTATCCTAGGGGTGCTGACAGGCCTGACAGTGGCTCTGACAGACGCAAGAGTTTGAGGCATGATCTGCCACTAAAAGTGGTTGACAAGTGCATGGCTGCAGAGCGCTTTAAAAAGGTCCAATTGGGTGACAATCTGAACCCTCATTATGAGTGTTCAGATGAAGGCACTCCAAATCAGCGTGTGTTTATTAATATCTGTCAACACAGCTGGAAGCAGGGCTCATCTGACACAGCTGAGCTCTACTCTCCATGCTGTCTTCAGAATGGGAGTGAGGAAAGAGAGTGGAGGGAACTCATTCTGGGGTTTGCCCAACCAATGCTGGAGAGTGGGCCAGAGAGCCCCGCAAGGTGGGGATGGCTCCAGTCCACCTGCCCCACTCTCCAGCTCTGGCTGAGTAACCCTCAAAACGAGCCCCCTCCTCTCCCTTCACCCCCTCCCATTCCAAAGAGAGCACCAGGGCTTGGAGGTGGGAAGAGTGGGGGGAAAGACACAGCCACTCCTAAACTGCACCTCATCTTGCAATCCCTGAGACCCAACAGCAAATGTCTTTTGGGTCCTGGGGATAGCTGTAACTCACGGTACTTCCTGTGAAGCGTCATGAGTTACAGTGGGGAGCTGTATGTGTCCTCAGTGAAGATTTTAAAAGCTGAAACACAGGGTGGCTGGCCCTGCAGGTGGTCATTGCCTGTTGAAGGCATTGGAATCCTTTATTGGTGGGCTTTTGGGTCAGGTTCTCATTCTCGTTCAGCATGCAGGCTGAATATGTTTTTGGGTGACTCTAACTCAGTCCTTTCAAAATTGTATTGAATCATCTTGTAAACTTTGCAAAGACTTTTTTTGGTGGGCAGAGAGGAGGGACAAATTGTCTACCGTGAGGTAGAACATTAAGAGACTTCTTGAGGAAGGGCAGGTCACTGGCTTTGTGCAGGGAAGCATGGCTTGTTTGGAGGATTCTCTTCTCTCTTTGCTTAGGGTAATGATTTAAAGAGGTGGAAACCTTTAAAAATATGCACCTTAAGTAATTTTTAAGTGTGCAAATGAAAACTGCTTTCTGAAAGTATAGTCCTGGAATTCTTGCAATCTCACCATGAGGTGCTGCATTCCATGTACCTCTGAATACGAGCTTCCAACATGAGGGAGACCATGTACTGTGGGTTCTTGTTCCTCCCCAACATGGGCATGCTCACAAGATGGTTTACTGGAAAACGCATTAATTTAAGTATGTAATAGCATTGTGTATTGCAGCTTTCAGATACCCCCAACATGAAATACATTTGGCTATCAGATCTCTGTTCATTGGTGAGAGTTAGTAGATGATAACATGCTGCACACATGATGATCTTTTCAAATGCTTTTTATTTATACACAAAATCCTATATGGGTATCACAACTACAACAACATTCCAACCCTGCAACTCATATCTGTCAGTTGTTCTTGCTAATCATAGGCTACATGCATGCCAAATTGGCATATGATTTTTAAGTAGGTTTGAGCAGTCACAAAAGTGCCTTAGCTGATTTAAGAGATTTTTCTTCTTGGATTACTCAGAGGTGACCAAAAAGAATTTTCTCAGACTTTTTAAAAATATCTCCCCTCTAGGCAGAGAACATACTGGAGAAGTCTTACCGTGGGCCTCTGTATAGCGTGCTGTCAAATAAATAAAATATTTGTTTGAAAAGACATTTCCAAAATAGTGAGTAGTTCCTGAAGGCAGAATCTTTGGAAAAAAAGGGATTTGCACCAGGTTAATTTCTCAGCTCTTTTCAGTCAGGAACACGCACACAATTCTCACATGACTGACTCTATCTCACATGGGGTTCATTACCTTTATTCTTTGTAAATTATTTATTTGTAGGGAGCTAGCAGCTGGGAGCCCCCCCATCATGGGCCATAGCTATTGTGATAGGTGCTATACATGCACAGCAGCAATGCTGTCTATACACCCAAACAACTTAGAGTCTGTATGGCCAGATATACACTAGAAAAGGTTTGCCAGGGTAGCTAAACCAGCACATAGTCCTTCCACAGATGCAGATTTTATTGGCAAAAATGGGCTTTTGCTGGCACATAGTATATACTGGGCTTTTTGTGAAGTCATTTGTCTTTGTGAAAAAACACTTGTTGCTAGTATAAGCAACTTGTTGCATCTTATGCCTGTCTAACAGTGTCACAACAAAGTATCTTATTATCTGGTTTTCCCACAGTTCACTGGGAAAGAACTTGGCTGTCCTGTGCATGCATGGGGAGGATTGTGGGAAGGGGCTAGAGAGCCACTAGTGCTGGAGATGATTTGGCCTGCCTCTTTGCTGTTAGGGATTGGTTAGCCGCCCATATGAATGACTGCATTTGGCTTTAGCATGGTCTCTCAGAGAGGCCAGATAGCACTGGTTGAAAGCACAACCACATCACAAATTAAATTGTTAGAGGCTTTTCTGTGTGGATGGAATGACTATTAGGGGACAGTACTTGAATAAAAGCTTGCAGTAAAGACCTACCTAGAAAGCAACCCCTCCTTGTTAAGGTCAATTGGAAAGCTTGCACCTACACTTCTTAACTTGGTGCGTTTCACACTTTCTCATTAGACAGTCCTTGACTTCAATTTGCATTCCATATTGGCTGGCCAGAACCCAAAAGTGTTGATTACTGAGAGACAGCAAAGGCTGTCTGTTAAATACCCCATCATCAAAAAAAGTAGTCTGACTACCACTCATTGTGGAGATGTAAAAACATGTTGTGATTTTTTTTTTATTATTATTATTATTATTATTAAAACACAGCTGTTCCTCTTTTCTTCTCAGATGGTGCATCCTGCTCATGCTGTTAATGAGAATGCTCTGTGATTATATTATGAGATTTCTCTGAGCAGAGCTTACACAAAACTTACACTCTCCATGGAGGTGTTGGGCTCTTTTGGAATATCTGCATTTGCGTGAACCTTGATTAGAGCTGTCAACAGATGGATGGCTCTTAGTCAACTGTGTTGCTCTCTGGCTTGATGTAATTGTGTATTGTGGTAAAGGAGCACTGATGTTCAAGCTGCTAAACCTGGTGGGGTCCGTTTTCTCGGCACCTGCCCCTGGGAGTGGGTTAGGCGTGGCAGGAGAGAGGATTCTCTCATTAGGAGAGGTTTCCTTCTATTGAAAAAGCTAATTCAGGAAGAAGGCGATGTGAACATGAGGTGCAGCTGCCAAAACTGCTTTGCCTTCTTTTTATGTGAGATTTATCACAGTGGTCAGATTAAATTTACAGGACAAGTGAGTAAGATAGAGTGTGTCTGACAGCAGCTTTCCAGTATCTGCTATGAAAGAACTCCATGAGATGTGTACACTGTGCTGATTAAAGCCTTTCTCTGACGGTTTAATGCTTTAAACTGAACCCAGCACCGTCTGGGTTTCTTCTGAGGAGGAGAATTTGGCTTAGCTTGGTAAAGACAATGCTTCTGTGGCTTGAGTCCCCTTTTCATTGTGTGGATCCCATTCCAGATCTTATTGGTGACCCGCAGACCATAATGACTCATAACCATGCTACAGTTGGGGAAGTTTTAACTGTGATTTAGCTGCTGGCATTATGTTTTTTGTGTGGTACTTGCCCTAGATTATCATGGGCTGTTATGGTGGTGTTACAGGTATCTGTAAATCATTTTTTTTTTTTAATGTAACATTACTCTTAGTCCTAGATGACAAGGTAACAACCCAAATTAATTAAGCTTTTCTATTGAGAAACTAAGCTATAAAGAGGTTGTCACATATCCAGGATCTGAAAGGAAATAAAACCTGGACCAGAATCAAGTACTTTTGCCTCCCATTCCTAGGTCGTAACCACCAGAGCATTCTGCCTTTCTGTGCATGCACATATGTATGCATGTGTGCGTGTGTGAATGAATTTGATCATTTTTTGTAGGCAGTTCTAAAGTGCTAACAAGTTCTAGGCCAGGGTTGTAACCATCAGAGCAATCCTAGATCTAGGATGTTTTGTACTTCTATTCATGCAATATTCAGATTCTGGGGTACCTAAGCTTCTGTTGAAAATTCCTGATTTGTGAGGCCACCCTTGAATGCATGACCAGAATAATCTGGCAGGTGGCATATTTTTGGATTTGTCTGCAACTTCAAATATCCAAGAGGGGTGAGTTTCCTTTGCTCCCATTCTCTTGCTGGAGTGCTCATTCTCCAGCCTTGACAATGCTTCAAATGTTTGATTGCATATCATTTCAGTGGTGGAATGGAGAAAGGGTGGGAGTGAAACCAGTGGAAAGTAGGACTTGAGCAGTGCAGCAGGGAAGGAACTGCACAGCTAAAAAAACAGCAGAGAAACGGGAAGAAGGATGGGAAAGGAAGAGAAACAAAGGGCAAGAAGTAGCAGAGTCCCTCAAGGTGAGCGTGTTTTCCAGTCAGTGATGGTAAGGTACACAACAAGCCTTTATATGTGTAGCGAAGACATGAGGCATGCCACGGGGGGAAGGGAAGTATCAAGTCCTACATTTGGACCTCTGCCTGTAACTACGGTTTTTGAGCAGAACTCGACTCTTCCCAAAGAAGGGGTGCCCTGATCTAGGCTGTATCTCAAGCTGTGACATGTTTTTCACCATATGTGCTCTAAAATATAGTGTGTGAAGGTTGTGGATTGAGGCATGTGTGTGAAACCCATGCTTCCCTAGTTGTAAATATTAGTGCACAGAGCCCCTTCAGGTGTAAAGGCCTCACTGTATATAGGGCACGGAGAAGATTGCCAGTCATCATCATTGCTTTGCAAATGATGGGTTTGGATTCTGCAGTCCTTATCCGCTCCCCTCAGACTTGAAAGGGCTTTGGTATGTCCCGCCTACTACAGATATAAGAACCTGTAGTGATGGACTTGAATTGGCAGCAGTGCGAAACCTGCAGTTAATTACTTAGATGTTTGCAGCCAGCATCTCAGTCCTAGCTTATTGAGTTCAGAGCTGGATTTGCCCTGATACCATTTCAGTGCTTTCTGTAGGATATTTGTAAACAGCATCAGCCAATAGAATTTTTTTGGAAATCTGTAAAGAGGTGATTTTGAAGTGCCCAGGGCTCCATTCCTAAAGTATATTCTGTGCTGCTAAGAAGAGAGCAAGAAAACATCACTTGGATCCAATCTTTGTTTTCAGACACGTGCCTGTAATGCTGCATGTAATCCCTTCACTCCCTGACTTCAGTATTTAATCCCTTTTCCCTGAACAAATAGGTGCCTCTTACAGCAAGGGGAAAGGGGGGGGGCGTCTTTACGGAAGGGGGAAGGGGGGTGGGGGGGGGGGGGGAAGGATGATGATGATGACTGATGTGTGGATGCAACTAGGCAGTGTTTTCATTATCCAGTTAATCTCTCTATATCATCATGTATTCAACAAACAGCCACACTCCCCTTGCTGCCTGCCTGCTCACAGGAAGAAATTTTATCTTAGTCAGTTGATTATGGTAAAGGCTGAATGACCCATTGCACTGTGATCCTGTCAGCCCTTTCAGGGTTATTCAAACAATGGGAATGATCAGCCAGACAGATGAAATGTTTAATGCTCTGGATTGCCAGGGTCATCAATTTAGCATTCGTGTCTCTGCAGCAGTGCCTAGGGCCGGCTTTCAGATCAGACTAGAGGTTTACAACAATGTAGCAGATGAGCATTGGGTGACAATGATGCATACGCTGTTTTGAATTGTATCAAGTTATGTTCAGGGCATACCTGAATCCCCTCCATCACCCGTTTTACGGTGGAACCTTCCGTATTAGACTGAGGTGAGAACGCTGCACAGATTGATCTGGGTTGTGCCATAACCTTAAGGAAATGCTCACTAGTTGCTTATGATGAGATTGTAGTAACGATCTTGCTTTTCATTCTCTATATAATTACTATTGGTGTTTCAAGTTATGCTTATTCTTCCTTCTCCTGTAGTTGGCCCTTCTGAATTTCACACTACAGATTGTATCCAATTCTATAGTTCACACTACAGCCTGTCTCATTCTACATACTCCACACAACAGATTGTTCTCTTCTTTTCCCCTTTACTGTTTGGATATCTCCACCCTTCCACAGGCCAGACCTCCCCCCCTGCAACTAGTCTGCTCAGAAAGCAGGGGGGGAAAATCCCTCATAGTCTTCCTGGTTTCTTTGTAAACTAAAGTATAACTTTGCAAGTATTGTTAGTAGAAGCCTTTTTTTGTAGGTAAGTGAGGTCTCTCAGCGGAGCTCTGCGTCTTTAGCCATTTCCCTGAACTTGTGGTCAGCACTGGTCCTCTGGCCAGGACAGCAAACAAGTATGTCTTGTCCTCAGTCACTTTTGCTCCAACAGTTAGTTATTAGGAGATGGTATGCAGCATCTGTCTGGCCTGTCCTCAGAGCAAGGGGTCAGACTCTTCCTGAACAGTCCCTGTGTTCAGGCATATCAACCTTATGCACTCTGCAGAATGATATGCTGGTGTGTATTTATTTCAAGAGCATCTTTAAGGAGGAATAAAATGCTAATTCTGATCTTTAGCTCACCAACCATCAGGAACTGTAGTTCTACATTTGGCACCATTCAGGTCTCCAAACCAGAAGCCAGGTGATGGAGATCAGGTGATACTGCAGCCTGAAACATTTTCTACCATCAGGATGAATATGCCAGTATTGTTTGTCTTCATCCTGCTTGTGTGACAGACCCAGTTTAGAACCAGGATTTATAAGATTTCCTACACTCATCAAACAGCATTCTTTCAGGACTGATATCCTGGTTTATTGTAGTCAGAGAAGGCAAAGCGAACAGTTAATCTGTTGCAGCTCTTGGGCTTTTTTTCGGGGATTTGTACACAAAGACATTGAAAATTAGAGGGGATGAGCAAAGGACTGAGATGAAGCATCTCAGCTGCTAGCTGGCATTTGTGCAGCTGCTGGGAGGAGTGTCATGGTGCCAGGTTTCAAAAGCCTGTTTGGGAAACACATGTATGGAACAGCTTGTTGTTGATGTGCTTTGTGCACTTGCTTTCTGGACTGTTTCTGTAAATGTGTCTCTGCGTTTAAGTTAGAGCTAAAGGCTGAAGGAGCCAGTATGCTCAAGTGCTTATAAAAGAGCTCTGGTCTTTGAAATGTACCAGTAGTTTGTTTCTGTATTATTGCATTATGCCTGAGCCTTTTACAGGTATTTAAATATGGGAGCTCAGGAGGTAATCATCTGTTTTAAAGAATTCAATTGGACAGTTTAGGAGAGGGGAGAAGGGAACAGCAACTTTTCCCAAGAGATTTATCATCAAGAAGTGCCTTAAGGACTAAGCAGCTTTTCTAGCATAACCAGTAGTGTGTTTAGGATTTCACTGTTTGCATTCTGATCACTGCAGGAGCTAGATGCAAAACCATCTAATGCTAATGTGCTTTCCTGATAAGAAGATTAGGGACAGTCCAGTGATGCAGGAACAAACAGAAAGCTCATCTGTAGGCAATCCAAAGTATGGGAGCAACCTGCGGGAAGATTTTCTTGTAGGGCTTATTATCTCAGCCTTGGGAGGTTGACTCAACGCTTGATATTTTTCTAGCATTCTCTATTTGGCTATCAGTGAGAAGTGTTGCTGCTTTTCCATCTTCATGGGTACGGCTGAAATGGTGGCCATTAGTAACAGAAATGTGAGGAAAATATTAGGAGAAAAAATGAATCTTTCCTGATTGCCTCTTAGTGATTAGGACAATGAACTTGGTTGATGTACCTTAATCATTTGAAGATCACATTAAAGCTGTCTCTGCAACTGATTTGCAAAATTAAGACATTGAAATAGCTGAAAGAAGCTGTATTTCTTAGTCCATAATTATAGGAATGCAGAATGGGTAGGATTTTCAAATGTGACTGATTTAGGAGCACAGGTGCCACTGTCTTAACATGCCCAAATACCTTTTTAAAAACTTGGCCCTGAGTTAAGACTCCTGAATAACTTTGAAAATCTGATCTTTGAGATTTTGAAAAGCCTGTTGTGCGTATGTATGCCAAGTACAACACAAAATAGCGATTCCTATTATTCCAGTGTAGAGTGGTGTGAAGATGTTTATTGTATTCATATATCCTTCTTGGACTATCAGTTGTAGAACAGGGTGGAACCACGGCATCTGGTTAATTCACAGGCCCCGTTAAAAGAAGAGCCCCGAAGAGAGGACTATATTGTTAATGCCTTAGGTTGGGTAGTATAAACTACTGTCTTATGCTTTTGAAGGAAGGGGATTTTAAAGATAGACTAATAGTCATTTGGTCCCTGTCAAATGACACACTGTTTGTTTCCATAGATCCGTCCTGTTGTTGATGAAGTCTTCTCTTTTTCTGAAGTTCCAAAGGCTTTTCTGAAAGTGGAACAAGGACACGTACATGGAAAAATAGTGATCAGTTTATTCAATAAAATATAATGTCCCTTGGAGCCATGTTGTTCTGCTTGTAATCTGTTCTATCTGGGATATGGTACTGGAACATAAAATTGCTCGGAGTTAAGTAGCTTTTTCTTGTAAATGCATCTCAAATGGTGTAAAAACTTCCTGGCTTCACAGCCTCTGAGCAGCAGGTGAGAGAGGTGTGTGGGGGGTATATTTTGTTTTTTAAACTGTTTAATTTAATATTAAATTTACCAGTATAAAGAAGCCCCGTCTTAAATCCATTCTTCACCAGTTGTTGGATTTGAGAAAGAAATGCTAATGCTCTTTTTGGACCAAGTCATTTACAGCAGTGTTGGGAGGAACTGTTGACTGCACAGGTTGCCAAAAACTAGTAGGACAGGATGATTAAATTGATAGCTGTTTTATCTGTTACTAGGTGTCTAGATCTACTTCTGTATATAACTGAATGGCCCTGGGAGACTAAGGGGAGGGGATTGCACCCCCTCAGACACATCAGGGAAGTGAAACCAGGTCTCTTACTTACAGGGCAACTGCATAACCATTAGGTTATGGTATAAAGGTGGGTACCAGCACTTTTTTTTTCTCCTCCTACAGGCATGTTTAAAAAAAGGGCAGGGATAGGAGGGAGCCTTGTTTCCTTCTTTAGAAGAATGGCAGTAGCCATCTGCCTTCAGCAGAGAGCTTCAGGCTCTGAATCCCAAGTAAGCAGCAGAGGGACAGGATTTAGTGAGCCAAGGCTCTTTATCCCAGGTTTTGGATTCTGCTCTGGG